ACGAATTCGGTTTGATGTCATTCTTTCCAGTGTTAGTACATGCGAGATGTTACCTACGATGACGCTTTCACGCGCCATAGCCTTCTAGCCCTCTCACACTCCAATCATCTTACTTACGATGGGGTCTTTCAGGGCAAGGTGCGCTTTTTCAAAACGGTTTTGTGCATATTGTAGGGACGCATGTAGGGAACGCAAAACCATGTTTCATTTTCGCTGAACGGTTATAGCAGTACCAAAAGAAGCATAAGGTACTGTTAAGGGTTCGATCCCCGTGGCGACTAAATTTTGCATTTGGGTTGGCGCCTACGGTTTGGTGCCAAATCGCGCTAAATATCAAAATCAGATGTCAATTCATCGTCAGGACCATTTTGAAGCCAACAAGTGGCCGCCAACCTTGATTGCAAAATTTAGTCGCCGCGGGGATTGAACCATCAAGAGTATTATTCACCACTTTTTTGGTACTACTAAAACCGTTCAGCGAAAACGAAACATGGTTTTGTGGTCCATACATGCGTCCCTACAACATGTACTAAACCGTTTCCAAAAAGCGCACCTTGCCCTGAAAGACCTCCCTTGTTAGAGATACAGCATAGAAATGAAAAAGGGAATCGGCTGGATAAGAGATGAGAATAAGATAATGAACGAAGATTTCGTGAACGAAATTTTTGCGAACATGACACACAGTGGACTTGGTGTGAAATGGCTTCAAGGTAAGCGCTAGCAAAATTCATATAGTGAAACAATTATAACCCACAATATCCCACCGCGATGGAACAAACAAAAAAGGAAACCTCAGCACTATTTCGGTCGTCTAGCCTCAATCCGTATGTTTGCACTCAATTACATGAATCAATCATAATTACTTGTTGTTAGCCCTCTCCTACTTATGTTGTTGATCTCTCGCCTCGATTCCTGTCATTTGACTTTGCACAGTCAATCCTTCGACCTAAAGCGTTCGTTGTTTCGCATGACGAGGACCATCTACGATTTGGTGCCCTCACGAAGAGGGCCATGAGTCGGCGTGATTTTCTTAGGTACGGTATAAAAGATTAAAAGATTAAAGCACGATTCAGAGGTGGCTTCAATGTGATTCGCTCTATCGGCAAGGGGCGTGACGCTGGTCCTTGTGAGCTGAGGATGCATAAAAGGTTCAGCTCCGAACCTTTATACGTTGAAGGCAACGACCTACTTAGATAATCACACCTTATTTAT